TAAAAACTGCATATTTTTTTTTGTGCACTATGGGTAGTGATGCCAACCTCTCATGTATGTGTGGAAAGGTCCTTAGGCTGATGTGCCTCTCCAAGCAGTTTAGTCTCTTCCAGAATCTGAGCAACAGCTTTTGTTTTAGTCATGAGATTTGATGTACCTGAAGATTCTCCCATAGTATGACCTTTATTTTTGATCATACATATGTGTCATGCCTGTGAATGTGAAATAGCAGGCACCCTCCCCAGCCAAGCCAGCTTATGTGGATGCAGCTGTTTTGTTGGAAGTGGTGCGAGGTCTGCACAAGTGAAGTGTGACAACAGTGTCATCAGAGTAAACTTATCCTTCAAGTGCCATTGAGCTTAGTAGTGGAACCAGATGAATTTTAGGATGTATGAAAAAAATTGTGTGGATATATGCATATATGCCTCTTATATAGTAGCCTGGTTGCTCCTTCTGTCAGAGAAGATTGGATTGGTATCTGCCTCAAGGGTCTGCCAAGCCACTGTATCATGTGGTGTTATTGTCTTTAGCCTAACCTTTAGGTGCTTGTCTACACTAAGGAATATTTAATAAAATTACATTTTCCTTACATCTGATGAAAATTTGGTCTATAGCCTGAAAGTCAAGGAGCAAACTTGAAAAACATCCATCTGTATTTTAGTGCTTGCTTAATACTTAATATACTTCTGTATAAGGCAAAACTGTTGCGAGGGATTTACTGCTACTGTTAGAGAATAGCCAGAGATACAGAAACCTAGCTTTTTCCTCAAAAAGGTAGAAAGAGTGGTTAAAAAAGAACTAATTGAATGAGGCCTGCTGTGAGCTGGATAAGATTCTTTCTGCTCTCTGAAATCTGCAGTCATTTCCTCCTATTCTATAAAATATTAGAGTTTACTCAGTAGTGCTGTGTATGACATGCAGGATAAAGTTTTTGAACCCCTCATGGTAAAAAGGGTCTTACCCGGATGTAGAAATTAACAAATCTCTAAATAAGTGATACTTATTTATAAAGAACTGAAATCTCATCTCACTTAAGTTTCGCCTGGTTGCTCTGTGTTCATCTACCCCTTGGTGCACATAGAAGGACAAAACATCATCGTATTAATACAATTCCTAAGCTTCATATGAGATAGAAAAAATTCAAATGCAGATGGTCTAAATGGAAAAGAACAGGAAAAGGGGCAGTGCTTACTGTTATCTTGCCTTTTCACGTTTGCAAGCAGCCAGGGCTTTTGGTTTTGCTTTCATGGACGAGAACTGAATTTAGTTTCCATGGTTCCATTTTTTAATAGAATATTTGATGTAATAGGAAATTTACCTACAGACCTTTCCATTATTTAATTGCATTCTTTAAGCTAAATATTATACAAATTTCTGAATGTCTTTGTTTCTATGCATAAGTAAATAGCTGTGTAAGATAATTCATATGTGTAATCCAGTTATATGTCCAAAAGTACTAAGTGTCTCCAGTATTTTGCCTAATTCTTTGACCCACTTTTCTCATCTTATTCAATACTGCAAAGGTTTTTAAAGTAGATTAGTAAAAAAAAAAAAAAAGACAAAAAATCCCCTTTGCTACTCCTGCCAAATTTTTTATTAGTATAAAGCATTAAGTATAATGCGTCATGTTTGTAGTGAGGGAGAATAGATTATTTTGCTGCTTAGCTTTTGCTGTTGCTGCATCCTCACTAGAATGTGCCCATGTGAAGTCATTGGTTTTAGTGCGAGTGCTGGTTAATTTATGTAGTTACAAGCATTGATATTCCTGTCCAACTGAATTATGTCTACTTTACAATGATTCCTCTGAGTCAAGTTAAATTGTAATTTTTAGGCTTGAGTATCATGTTAAAGTAAAAATATCCACTTCACTAAAACAGTATTTCATACAAAAAAACACTGATTACTTGCATCTTAAAAGTCCAGACAAGTTTACCACACACACCCCCCCACACACAAAAGCCCGCAGAAACATGAAATCGTGTCACTGAAAGTGCCTTGGTTAAATGGTGTGAGTCTCAGTGCTAATTAAGGAAGTGGGTAGCTCAAAACAGATAGTGGAGATAAAAGATATCACCAACAACTTTCTAGATAACGCACCTACTGTTTCCTTTTATTAAACTTTAGATTCCCCGTTTCTCTTAATAATCAATGTAGCTGCTCATGATTTTTTAAAATGTTGTCCGTGGAGATGTAGATTTAAAGCAACATCTGGAAAAGTGGGTAAAAACCCTGGGTTCCACATAGCATGGTGAAAAACCTGGTTGTTCCGAATGCCCTACTGGATTCTGCCTCTTGGGCTGCCTGAGGTCTTTGCCCAAGCTCATGACAGGTCAGGAGTTGCAGTGCTGTCCTGGTGCACCTAAATAAATTTTTCTTTCTTGTATGATTTGATGACTAATAAGATAGTTAACAGCTAAAATATCATCCTTTTAAATTAAACTTCAGGTTGGGTGAAGTAAACTAAGCTTCATGACAGCTGAGCTTGCTGCTTTAAAAAGGGTGATCCTGCCCTTTAGAGATCCCTTTAATTTCTGGATTCAGGAGCTCATGTCCTACATTCATCCTGGGTCTCCAGTTTCCTGCTCAGAGCAGAGCAAATCCATAAGCAAAATGATGCAATTTCTGGTTTGGGGTTTTATTTGGGTAGGAGAATTAATTTTATGTTGATTCAGGTTCATGGGTTAGCTCACTGAGAGGGATCTGGTGAACATCGAATTTGGTGATGTAGTGGGTTTCCCCTGGCCAAATGCCAGGTACCCACTAAAGCCACTCCCTCACTCTCCCTCCGCAACTGGACAGAGGAGAGAGAAAAAAAAAAACAAAACAGCAAAGAATTCGTGAGTTGAGGTAACAGCTGGGAGAGGTCACTTACTGATTACCTTCACAGGCAAAACAGACTCAAAGTGTACTTAAATTTATTACTAACAGGATAAAAGCCAAAGAGTGAGAAATAAAACAGTCTTAAAAAAACCTTCTCCCCACTCCTCCTTCTTTCCATGTTCTCCCTCCTCCCCCCCTGTGGTGCAGGGGGTCAGGAATGGGAGTTAATGTTCAGTTGTGGTTTCTGCTGCTGCTCAGAGAGAGGAGTCCTTCCCCTGCTCCTGTGGAGTCCCTCCCACAGGAGACAGTCCTTGATGGACCTCTCCAGCATGAGCCCATCCCTTGGGCAGTAGTTCTTCCCAAACTGCTGTCCTGTGGGTGACTCCTCCATGGGGTGCAGTCCTTCACAAATGAGCTGTACCAGTGTGGGTCCCCAACAGGGGCCACAAGTTCTACCCAGGAAAAAGCTACTCCAGTGTGAGTTTCCCTCTCCACGGGCTGCAGGTCTATAGCAGGACCCTGCTCTGTCTTGGCCCCCCCACACCCATGGAGTCACAGCCTCCTTCATGCATCCACCTGCTCCAGCACGGGCTCCTCCACGGGCTGCAGGTGGGTCTCTGCACCCTGATGGTCCTCCATGGGCTGCAGGGGCACAGCTGCTCCACCAAGGTCTGCACCACGGGCTGCAGGGGCCACAGCTCCGGTGCCTGGAGCACCTCCTGCCCCTCCTTCTGCACTGACCTTGGTGTCTATGTTATTCCCATGTTCTCACTCTGCTCTTCCTGACTGGAATTCCTTCTGTGCACAACCTTCTGTTCTTAAATATATGATCACAGAGGTGTTACTGTCACTCCTAATTGGCTTGGCCTTGGCCAGTGGCAGGAAGCCTGTCCTGGCATTGGCTCCATGGGAAGGGGAAGCTTCTAGCAGCTTCTAACAGAAACCACCCCTGTAGCCCCCCCTGCTACAAAAACTCAGCCACAGAAACCCACTACAGATGCCTAAAGAACAGTTGCAGTATGCAGCCATGTTCAGGAGAAGACCTGGATTGGACCTTTAGCTGGTTCCCCTCTGCAATGTCAGCTTTGCCAGCAAAATCTCATAGAAACAAACCAGAGAACATTTTTTTCCTCAGGGATAATGTAACTATGATAAGAAAGACTTTATCACTGAGTTGTTTATTATTATTATTATTATTATTATTATTATTATTATTATTATTATTATTATTATTATTATTATTCCTGAGTTATAGAAAGGGAAGTGAAGGCTAGAGGGCCGAGTTCTATTCTCTGAGCTGGTGATTAGGAGCTGGGTCATTTGTGTAGCAACATGCTTGACATAGTGTCAAGGTGTTTGTTATTTGGGGCAGCTGGAAGAGAAGAGGTACTTCTTTAGACACCAATCTTCATCTTAGGAATCTCTATATCTGCTAATACTTCTTTACACTCCTGCAGCTAAACTGGAAGAAATGTCTGTAATTAGGGATAGCAAACCTTAAGTAGTCTCCCATACTTAACAAAAGAAAACACAACAGGTTGTTAATATATAGATTTGAAATAAAAAAGATGTTCTCATATTCTTATAAAGTCTGTGATTGTAGAGTGTGTTTTGAAATAGTTGTTGTATGTGTTAGTAATTTAGATTTTTAAAACACTGTAACTGAAGATTGATTTACATATTTTTATTACACCTACTGTATAAATAAAGTTGGTTACAAAGCAATTCAAATTTCTGCAGCCAATTATTTCTTTTATTCAGTAAATGGTAGACAGTCTTGTTCAGCGCTATGCCTTTGCATCAATTTCTGATCAAGTGAAATGATTTGCTCGTGATCTTTGAAGTAAACCTATAAGAATAAATGTCTTTTTTTTTTTCTTTAGACTGCCCTATACATTCTTTCATGTGCAGAGTCTATTTGATACAACGTACATTTAGTGTTGTGAACATGCCAAGAATATTAGGTAGTGTTGCAAACTGAAAGAAAGAAATACACGGTAGTGGTCTTTCCTCCTATTCTCGCTATATAAACTTTTTTCTCATCTATGCAGGAGGTTGCATCAACAATTTGAAAGCTATAAAGAGCAAGTAAGAAAGATAGGGGAAGAAGCCCGCCGTTACCAGGGAGAGCACAAGGATGATGCTCCAACGTGTGGAATCTGTCATAAAACAAAATTTGCAGATGGTTGTGGCCATTTATGCTCTTATTGCCGGACCAAGTTTTGTGCTCGATGTGGAGGTCGTGTCTCTCTGCGATCAAACAATGTAAGTCTCCTGATGTGCGCTCTTAAGAAAAAGCCTCCTTGACATTGTCGTGCTGCAGATTGTTCACCTTAAGTTTGGCATTTCATGCTTCATTTTACTTAAATGTTTCATTTATTGCTTCATTATGAGGTGTGTATAAAGTAAAATAATGTATTTAATGATTGTGGAGCTACTTGGGATTCACAAAGTTAATTAAAACAAAAAATAATAGTAGTGTATAGTTCTACTGAGTGATGGTTTGAAAAAAATATACTTGTTTTTCATAGAATGAAAGAAGAAACCCTTTTGCTCAGGTACAACTCCACATTAATAACTTTTTATTGACCTCTTATTTAATTTTACATTTTTTTTTTGTAGAGCTTTTCATATACATTTATAGATTTCTTTTTCATAAAGTCAGTCAATTTTTGGTTAGAAGAAAGTCTCAACCACTTTTCTTAGCACACTGAAAGCGTTATGTCAATTTATTTTAAATTTACTTATAAAATAAACTATAGATTAATCTGGGTTAAGTATTCTACTTTCAGGCAGGTGACTGAATCTTTCTCCCTCTGATCTGCATGCGGTTACCTGCAGTAGCTGTCCACAAAACTGAAGGGTATCTGAGATTACCCTCAAAAAATGCATTTCAGGTTTATTTTAGAAGTTTTCCATAGCCTTGATGTACTTGTTAGTTCATTAAATTAAATTCACATTCTGAAAAAAAATCTATATAGGTGAATTGGACAAAAATTTACATATCTATATGTGAAAACTTCCAATGTTCATATATTACTATAAATAGATGCATTACATTGTATCACCTGCAGGTGGTGTCATTAGAGCAACTCTCTGAAAATATAGTTTACTTTAATACGTCACATTATACTATTAATTAGAATGCATGTGATGCAGCTTATCTTTACTCAGAAAAAAAATTGAATATATTTTAATTATTTTTCACCCATTGTTTCAAATCACAGAAATGGAAGAGTGTCCATTCATTTGTAACTTGCCTTTTGTTTGTTACATTGTTTATGCTTCTGTGGGTCAGGGTGGGAAAACATGTTTACAACATATGCGGTAATGTCATCTTTTTATTTAAAGCTCTTTTTTTTAATTTTATATTTTTATCTCTTCATAGAGAGTTACTAGAATTGCATTTCTTTAAAATCTGTCTATTAATACTTGCCTATTTTATTCTTTTTCTCTTCTTTTTTTTCTTTTCTCTTTTTATTCTGCTTCCTTGGATGCTTTCCCAAAGGAGGACAAAGTGGTTAGAATACATGCTTTTTATAATTTATTATTATAATGTTGTTAGCTAACTGGGATACATATTAATGTGAAAAACTGAACTGAAATTTTAAAATCGTCCACAGGGGAGGGGGGAAAACCAGGAATCCTAATACCCAGGCCCTACCCATCCTTAGCTGAACATAGGCTTTAAAGATAGCTCAACAAGGAAACTCAAGACTATTGTCAAAATTATAACAACAAAAGAAATTAAGAACTGAGAAATATTTGTTATTTTTAGGCTAAGAAGTAGAGGAGGCAGTAAAGACTAGTAAAATTTTATTTAGTTAACAATTTTAGTTAACAATTTTGACTTTTTGCATACAAGATCCTTCCATCAGCTTCAGGAAATCCAATTTAGTATTTTAATTGTAATTTTACATTGTTTTACATGGTTTGCTGTGTTTCACTTCTGGCTGTGGCAGAAATTCAGGGAATTCTTGTGAAATCAGTTTTTTTATTTACATTTGCATTAATATGTATAGGTAAAGTAAAACCTCTTCAAACTGGCCATAAGTGTAGTGAGCAAGGTGGAGTGTACCTTTTTTGAATGCATAGTTACCATTTCAAAAATCTGCAGAACTTTTAGGATCAAGTGCAGGCGTATTCATTACTAATGCCTGTGCCTTATTTGAAATAGGTAAAACAACTATTTGAAATAGTTCCCTGTTCATCTCTGCACCCTCTGCATAGCAAAAATGTGGGAGTACTTGAGCAGAACAGTGCAGTCCATTTACCACCTCTTGGGCAGCTCTGCAAAGGGTGGTATTCCAGATTTTAATTTAGATCATTAAGTCATGGGAATTAGTCAGCTTTGCTGGCACCTTAGCTGAAACAAGTGTAAATTTAGCGCTATTTAACATCCAGAGAAAATTATTTCTATCACACCTGCATATTGCAGTAGGTTTTTTCTGTGGCAGTAGTGTTCTGAGAGCATGGATGTTTTTCCAATGGCTATGAAATAGAACTCGATATGGCTTCATTCCCCCGTTTTCTGTGTGGTACTCTGAATAAAGTGCTGAAATAATCCAGGAGTTCCCGATCTTTTCTATTCTATTCATCTAAATGGCTTAGGATAGTGTGAGAGAAGTTTCAGCTTGATACTAATTTTTTTATTAAAGCAGTGCATCATTGATGCATCTGCTGGGGTGCATTGAAACACTAGTGCACTTGCAACAGAGTCTTCTTTAGGGTCAGAAACAGCAAGAGTCTCAAATCCCATCAGTGCCACTTAGGCACAATTTAGCCACCTAAGTTTTGGAAAGCAATTCAGATGAACCTCACCTGACCTCCTTATATGCTTTAGGCATCGTTCACCCTTCAGTTTGGAACACAAACTTTGCTAAATAACTGAAATTGTTATAGTGTCTGCATGCAGGAGAGATTGTGTTTTTGATGAGAGGACAGTTTAGGCGTTCATCTTTGAAATATATCATTGGAATCCAGAAAACAGACTCCATTGCACTAAAGAGCTCTGAAGTTCTGAAGGCATACATGACTCATTTGGATTGTCCTAAGTCCACTTAAATACATCCTTATTGTTTGCACTTGTCTTGGTCTAGGTTTTCTTGTGTTGAACTCCAAGCTTCCATGTGCCAAGAAAATGGCCTAATAATAATACTGTATATGAAAGTATCTTCTATGGTGTGATGAGCTACATCTCTTTACAGCTGAAAAGTTAGTGGTAGTCAGAGGGAGAGTATCCAATAATTAGTTCAGTTTTGTGAGGAACGTGGGGAGCAATTCTATAAAGCGCCATTGTTTTAGCAGTGCCTGTCTCTGAAAGATAATGGAATATATATTAATTAATTCCAAAATATTAATACATACCTAGCAAATAGGATGTTTTATAAGCAGAACAGTTGGTATAATTAATATAGAGCAACATGAGAAAGATATTATTTGTTAATTATTTTCAGTGGCTCAACACTCCTGACTAATCTACATATTAGGAACAAACTACCAAAAAAAATTATCTGGCAAGTTTCATATTAGTAAAAACTTTTTCAACATATTTATCCTTGTTGTCTCCATGTGAATTATTACCACAATAAATCATATTAATACAAAACACATGCACCAAGTTCCTAGAAGTCAGGGGTGCATTAGGATGATGAAGTGTGACTTACCAAAGTGCCAAGCTCAGGAAAAGTCAAATGCTATCGTAGTTTCTAAGTATCTCCTGCAGAGCTGGAGAATTTATGATACCTTGCCTGGGATGTTTTGTACCACGTGTTACCCATTTTTGACAAATACTAACCGATAGGCACAAAAAAAGTCAAGCAGAGGATGATCCAAGAAATGGAAACATGCTCATGTGAGAGAAAGTTAGAGAGATTAGGGGGACAAAAGATAAAGCAATTATAGTTGATATCTAGCATATGGAATTGATATGTAGAAATGTAGAAATTTTAAAGAATAGCGTTCAAACTAGAGGACAGTGAATACATAAGACTGCATGGGTGTAACTTGGCCCTAAATGTTCCTGGCTTGGAGAAAGACAACTGCAATCCTTAGAGTAAAGCCTTGGGAATCTATTTCATTTTATTTCTTGGAAGGAAAAATAACCCAATAAAATGTTAAAACTGGAGCTTTCACTGTAATCACTGAGCATTTGTATATACTTTCAAAGAAAGCAGAATATTATTAGTACAGGATGTTATGTGAGATAGCATTTCAGAAAGAAGTCAGGCAGGTGCTTAAGAAAAAGCTGACAAGAGTGACCACTTGCTTCTAATTTGGTACAATGTTCCAGGTAGTTTTAGTTCCGTGTAGAGTGTCTACACTTTCACTCTGTATGTATTCTAGTTATGTTCCGTATACCAGCATTTTAATTGCCAAAATGGTAACGGGTGTAAGTTACTTCTCTCTATTCCATTCACTCTCCCGTGTGATGTGAAATATTGTGGTTGTTAGGGCAGTGGACAAGTCAGGAAAATGTCCAGCTGGTGCTTCTCCATGGTTTGGCAAGGTGTGGGCAGAGCCCTGCCTCAGTCTTCCTGCTGGCCTGGCTGCCACTGTTCTTCCCTCCAGTGGTACCACAGCCTTCTAGAGCAAAAAACCACCTGAAAATACAACTTTTTCCCTTGCATCATTCCTGTAAAACTTTTCCCCGGTGTTTGGCTAGATCATGCAAAAAGATGTATTTCCTTTGTACACACCTGATACATGAAGTTGTACAGCTCTGTTTCTTTCTCTTTATAGAAGTGGAGATACATTTTAGTCTACGAAAATGATCTTGAATGAGCAAATGTATTTTTTTTGATCAAAATTTAAATATTTTGTGAGGTGCTGTGGGTGTCTTGAGCTAAGCGAAATTTGTATGACATTGAAAGAATTAGTGGAAGGTCTGTGTTCCAGATCAAGCCATATATTTATCCATAGCAATCAGTCTACCATTCTACAGTTTTCATTAGGGTTACAATTTTTGATTGAATTTAAAGTGAAAAGAATTGGGAGCAAATGATGAAAAAAATTTTGTCACCATTTTCCTGTGTGTTTTCCAGATATGTTAGTTGTGCAGAGTAGAGGAGTTTGCTACTCATTTTTCTGTTTACACATGTAAAAGAAAACTGGTACGAAATCAGGATGTAAAATACATTATAAATATATGAGAATCGATTTCACCAAACTTAGTAGTATGTGATTGCAGAAAATAATGTCCATAACCAGTGGTGAAGAAAGTCACATTTCTAATCTAGCATTGACTGAAATTGTTTTCATTTTAGTATAATGTCAGTGATTTATACTTGAAAAGAAAGACAACTTGGAAACATTTCCCTAATTGGATGTCAGTTGTTTTTACAGGGTGTTTGTCATTTAGTTCCTTTAAATTATGCTTAAAATTTGCTTACATAATGGCTTGCTAATTTAAGCCTTACCAACTTGAGTACATATGCCATGCAATTCAACTGTGTACTAATGCTACAACAGAAGTTGGTAATATTGTCAGAACAAAATGTCTGGATTGCCAGGATCATTTTTAAATCCCTTTCACTGAACTCTTAGGTCAAATTGTCCATTAAAAGGCTAATTTATGTACATTCTGACTAACACAACTGTAGAACAAAAAAAGAATCCAACAGAAGGACGTAAAATTACATAGCAAATTTCAAATGGATAGCAGATAAATTCTCTCTCTCTCTGTAGCATTCAACATAATTTGTTCCCTAAAAGATATAGAGTTTATATGCATCAGGAAAGAAGCACTGCTTTTCAGTAATCCCTCCCTAGAACTGCTGCTTCCAGCAGAAAAAAAAAACCAGCAAGAAACTGAGGCATTCTATTTCAAGTTAGATGTAGAGCACTTCATTCTGGTTTTTGGGAAGCTAGTTCACTTTCAAACAAGTGTGAGAGTATAGATTTTTTAAGCAAATCCTTAAATTAGCTTGCTTTTCACCAAGTTTGCTGAAGAAACATGTTTGCCTTTAACATCTTTTTTATTTATTTTCCAGCTAACAAAAATGATCGATTACTTCTTATTCACAAAAAAAGGCAGGCAGGTGATGCTATTGCTCTGAAGTTAACCAGATCAGAGCTTCTTCATTTAAGGATTGAACTGTAGAAGAGTCACTAGACAGCTGGAGTTTTATTCCACTATAGCTTTAAATCATCAGTAAATCAGTAACCACTTGGTTAAGCTCTTTGATTTACTCAGATTTAGTTTATCTGTTTGCAAAACTCTTAAACTGCAACTTGTCATGCAGTTCTACAGTTGATGACCAAGAAAATATATTGCTACTGCAATACTTCTTTCTTAACCTGTGATAAAGGTCTCCTGAATCCTTCATGTCTGTTCTTGCTGTTGGCATGCAAGCTGGGTAACAGTGATCCGTGGAGACTATACCTAAAAAATACTGGATGCTTCCTTCAGTATAATACATTATAAACAAAAACCCCCTAAACTTGTAATCTCCCACAGTGTTACTACTTGCTATGTTATCCTATTTTTAGTCTTGTATTTTCAGTACCTTTGTTTCAATT